GTAGAAATGGTAACAATTTCAGATGGAACAGAAACATGTCACCATCAGGCTATGAAAGGGGGGCTAGTTATTCTAATAGACGAACCAACAACAATTTTAGACGGAACAACAGTTCTAGGAGTAATGTTCCAGAGAGGATGCTGCATGATCTGAACAGCCATAGTCATACCAACAGACGAACCAACAATACTAGATGGAACAGAAGTTCTAGGAATAACGATCCAGAGCGGATGCGACATGGTCTAAATAGCCATAGGCAGAATGATGGTTTCAGTAGAAATGGTAACAATTTCAGATGGAACAGAAACATGTCACCATCAGGCTATGAAAGGGGGGCTAGTTATTCTAATAGACGAACCAACAACAATTTTAGACGGAACAACAGTTCTAGGAGTAATGTTCCAGAGAGGATGCTGCATGATCTGAACAGCCATAGTCATGCCAACAGACGAACCAACAATACTAGATGGAACAGCAGTTCTAGGAATAACGATCCAGAGCGGATGCGACATGGTCTAAATAGCCATAGGCAGAATGATGGTTTCAGTAGAAATGGTAACAATTTCAGATGGAACAGAAACATGTCACCATCAGGCTATGAAAGGGGGGCTAGTTATTCTAATAGACGAACCAACAACAATTTTAGACGGAACAACAGTTCTAGGAGTAATGTTCCAGAGAGGATGCTGCATGATCTGAACAGCCATAGTCATACCAACAGACGAACCAACAATACTAGATGGAACTTACTTCTAGGATGAATTTGCTTATTTGATAGAAGATTGAATATTTATTCTTTAATGTTCAAGAATAAAAAATTAGTGTTGGAGCCCTTTTCCAATGGAGAATTTCAACAAAAATAAACCATGATCTTGTCACTTCATAATTTTAAGGATATTTCTTGAAAATCCAGTTATGTTCATGCTAATTTGTAAAGTTATGGATAAAAGAGTGCAATGTACAGAGGCAATATAGCTAATAGTTTTTCAATAACCATTACAGTAGTTTAAAATGTTTTCCTAGAAGAACTCTCTTCACAATTACCATATTTACATAACATAAAACGTGCAGTTAGTACCGAGGGGCTTGGCCTAGCGGTGGCAGGAGCCAA